CCAGAAAATGTGGTTGTAATGTTTAAAAACTGTTAAGTATTTAATTGGATATATTTTGCTTTAAAATAATAATAATAATAACTTAGGAAAAGTACCACAGACCTTGTAATTTCTCCTTATTTGTGAAATTCTTTGAAGATTTGTCAAATTCCTTGGGACCTTCTATTTGGGCAAGGTCATAAAATCTTATAAGCCTGGAAAAGTGGTTGCTGAAAGATGATTGTGAAATTCTTAGAAATTAGGACATTTCCCAGCCAAAGTGGGGGGGGGGGGCGCTTGCAAGTTTGTTTTATAAGAACTGATTTTTTTTATCTAATGAATTGTTTGGCTACTGATTATGAAAATTATAAAATCTCACTTTTAATAGTATGTATTCAAAAAAATAGTATGTATTGAAGTTACACCTTTAAGTCATCTTAGTCTTAACAGACCCTAGATTTAAAGATTTCATTTGTGCCTTAACAGTTAATATGGAATACCTTCAGATGTAGATGTTAGCCTGGAAGCTGACCATGGTCAGTGTTTTTCTGGGTTTTGAGTGAATTATCATGTATTCACTGTATGAATGTAGTTCTTTTCTTAAATCCTAATGATTGATTTTTGCTTCAGGATGTCTTTAAACTTGGAAGGAAGAGTAAGACAAGACCTTGTGCTTAATAAGTACTGGAGGTAGATTTTTTTTATTGTTAACTATTATTGCAACAAGTTGATAAAATAATAAGAATAATAAACAGTAATAATTGTACCTAGCCATATGCTGTCATTAGTGAAACTTGCTATTTGAGGTGGCATTTCTTGGAACTGTAATTTGATATTGTTTCAAGTTTTGACCTCAGGTATAATTGTCTGAATTCTTATTAAGTTAATAATCCTCCATTCAAGGGAAATGTTATGAGCTGCTCAAAGAGAGTGTGATCTGAGACTGGTGAATGTCTGTACTTGAAAAGATTGAGAAGATGGCCTTATGAAGGAAATTGCAAGATCCCCTTGACTCAGTTTTCCCTTTGTGCTATTTCCTTTCTGAACAGCAAATTGTCCTAGCTGGTCAATCCTGAGTCTTGCTCTGATGCCCTGAGAATAATGTGGATTTTTGTTGTATGATTGGCTATTCCAAAATAAAAGCTAACTATGACTCTTACCTGGAATCAAATAGAGCTAAGGAAGCTTTATTCTGATATAGTTAGGTCAGTCTGTGCCTTAGAAGGGACAGGCTTGATACTATCATAACCATGTCCCTCCTTCTTCCTTTAATAGCAAGTTTCTATAACTGTGGCAGGCAAATTGTAAAAGTTTTACACACACACACACACACACACACACCATGGTGTTGTAATACTCAAACATCTCTGAGTTAATATAATAGGAGGCAAGTGTGAAAGACCTTACTGTTTTTATTTTTACTATTCTGAATTTGCGGTCACTATTTGTTTCAACTTCCTAACTTAAGCAGCTAGGAAAATAAGTCCTCAGGCTTGCTGTCCATTCCCTTTTTAATAATTGTTTATTTATGTGTAGCATCAAGTCTGCATGGTACTACATCTTTTTTAGGTGATGTGGTGATATTTATATATCTGCATATCTCTATCTATCTCCTCAAAGGAGGGATAGGACAAAGGTGTAGTGTGACAAATATGTCAAAGTTTTATGTAAATTTTAAATTTTAATGGACTTCACTTTGAGAAAAGCAACGAGATAAAACTTTTTTTCACTGAGAACTAGAATATATGATTGGCTTTCAAATATCTCTATTAAAATGATAAAAGGACAAAGAAATGTGATATTCCTGGTACCATATATTTAATTTTTCTTTTGATCCCGAAGGTAATTAAGAACAAGACTGGAAAAGTAGAGCAAAGTACTGAACTTCCTTCAGGTCCAATTAAATATACACATTTTAATTATTTTTGTAAAAAAAAATTTTCTCTTTTGTCTAGAATATATAGGGTTTGATTTTAATTTAGTAATTTTCTGTAATTCTCAAAATTGGATTAAGGATTTTACATGTAAGATTGTATAAAGAAAATTTTGAATTGTGGTGTTTTTTTGGGGGGGAGACAATCAGAATTAAGTGACTTGCCCAGGGTCACACAGCTAGTGAGTATCATGTGTCTGAGGCTGGATTTGAACTCAGGTCCTCCTGACTCCTGGGCCAGTGCTCTATCCACTGCACCATCTAGCTGCCCCTAAATTGTGTTATTTTTTGTTTTGAAGTCTGATAATATTAAAAGAAAGAAGGGCTCATTTCACAAATCAGAACCTCATGGATTCTTTTGAAAATGCTTCCTTTATCTTGTAGATAGCATTATGCATATCATATGTAGGTTTCAGGCAAAGACAGAAAGGGCAAGTGGTATGTAAAAACTAAAATTCTCTGAATTTTCCACCATTGCACTTGCCCGCCTTGTCCTGCCCCTCCCTCACCGCAACCGCTAACGCTTCCCAGAAAGGGGGGCGGGGCATATCTTTTTCCAGCCCCAGTTGGCGGACAGCTCCCGGGCTAACCCCCTTGCATGCATGCCTCACCTTGGGCGGCCAAGGCTCCTTGCATGCATGCCTCAC